GGGGGGGGGGGAGAAACAGGCTTCCACCTGTGCTGGCAGCCATGGTTGGGCCGGAGGCAGTGCGCGAGCTGGCATGGCGCCTGCCTCAGCCGCATGCGTGCAGGGGCCCGGCTCCGCTGGGGTCTCCCCGTTGTCCGAGGCAGGATGCGGCATGCATGCGGCATGCATGCAAGCTGACTATTTCGGGCCAGCCCAGTCGCCAGTGGCTGCACCTGGAGCTCCGCCACCGGCCAAAAGTCCCTCTCCTCATCGTACGGCCGGATGCGCCATGCAGCGCCCCCTTCTGCCACGACCACCACCTCGGGCAGCTGCTCCCGCCGCGGCGCCGCGGCGGGGGCCTGATCGCGCCACTCGTGCTGCTGGTGCTGGTGCTGGTGCTGGTGCTGGTGCTGGTGCTGGTGCTGGTGCTGGTGCTGGTGCTGCTGATCCTCCTCCTGCTGCGGCTGCTGCTGCCCCTCCTCCAGGGGCTGCCACCGACCGGAGGGCACCGGCTGCGCGGCGCCATGGAGCCCCGCGGCGGCACACTGGCGTGCGGGCCGCTGAATTGCCCGCCGCGTGCATTCCGGTCGCGTCACAAGGCGGGGCTGGACGGGCGCAGTGCGCGGAGCCCTTGGCGGCGCTGCACTGCTGCCGACTTGATTCCGTTCTGCTCTGAACGTACCGGGCCGCTGCATGGCGCCAGTGCTCAGATGAAGTAGCGCTGTGCTGGTGGTGTTGTGTCGCCTGACCTGGGACTAAGCACGGCCAATGAGCGTTCGCGGGCTGTGGCACGCTTGTTTTTGCTACAGAGAAAGCAATTAGCCCAGCATCTGAGTCACGCGTTGCGTTCTTGTCCGGAAGACCGTCGGGGTCATCAAGGTCCCGTGACGGGAGGCAAATTTCATTCCGGAAATATAATTGGAAACGGCTGTTTTACCCGGAGATCCACTACTGCATAACCCGTGTTGCGGGGACGCGTCGCACCCGGCGACATCCTCAGCAGGGAGGCGAGGACGCGATGCAGGCGATGATCCAAAAGCGCGGAGTTGGCATAGGCTCAGCCCGACCGACAGCCAGGTGGGGTGGGGTGGCTCACACACTGGATACCCTGCTGGGTTTCGCCAAGCCCCATCCACCTGATATTGATGCATGGCCCTCTTGACCCATTTTGCCCAGGATGTTGCACGGGAGGACGAGGCTTGTGATTCGCGCCCAGAAGACAGGGCCACAGGGTGCGTGGCCGCTTGGCGACCCTGGACGGCGTCGTGTGCCCTGCACGCTCATCTCACTGCCATGCTCATGAATCGGCGCGCCCCCAACTTGAGGCATCAAGCCATGATGCATTTGCTTGCCCCGCCGGAAAGTTAAGGGAGCCTCCATGGTGATAGCGGCGGCGCTCGGTCACATGCCAATTGGCGTCGCGGCGGCGGTTCTGCCGCGGGACTAAGCAGCTCTCACCCTCTCCTGACTTCGTCACGGTGATCGCGCAACCCCAAACCTCCCACAATCGCGCGACTCCGCAGGCACCGTCCGCCTGAGGCAGGGATCCCGCCCCGCGTCGCCGCTGCCCCAGCTTGGCGGCCTCGGGCTGTTTGGCACCCTGAGCTCGAAAGCGCCCCAGCTTGGCGGCGCCAAGGACCCCCGCACTGTGAGGCGGGCGGGGCCGATGCAACGGGCCCAGGGCCTGCCGCGCCGCGTGGCTCTGAGGCTTGACTGGCGCCAGCAAGCAGGGGCACGCTTGTCGTTGCCAGCACAGCCGTGAGCCGAGCAAAGGGAGCGGCCCATGCATGCCCTGTGCTGGGGCACCCTGGTCCGCCGCCATGAGTCAAATTGGATGCCGCGGCGGCGCCTCGCATGCCGCAGGTGTTTGTGGCCGGCTCGACGGGCGTGCTGGGCGTGCGTATTGTGAGGGAGCTCCTGGCGTTGGGCTTCAAGGTGGGGCGAGCCCGCCGCGGCGATGACTAAAGAGGCGCGAACGGGCGCGCCGCCGCACCACCGGCGCGAACGCGCGTGCGGGCTTACAGCAGCAGCCTGTGCTCCGCCGGCCGTGCCCTGAGCCCCACGGGTGCAAACCGCGGGTAGTTCGAACGGCGCGGCGCGGACTGGTTGCAGCATGCAGGCATGATGATACCCTCGAATCCAATTCCAATTTGCAGGTCCGCGCCGGAGCCAGAGATGTGGCCGCCGCAAAGGAGAGCGCCAACACCGCCGCAGCCATCGGCCTACTGGACCAAGGTGCGCCCGCGGCCGCGGGGCCGATCCGGGGCGGCGGGGGGCGGCGGATTGCGCTGCTGCGGCCACCCCGCGGCGGCAGGGCTTTCGCGTGCGCGGATGGTCGGCCCAGCGGCGGCTGCAGACGCCTGCTGCTCATGCGCTCACCCCAACTCAACGCTGCGTCGACTGTCCTCGCCGCACCCTCCAGCCCCTCTTCCACGACCCTCCTCCTGGCCCCCCGGCTCTTGACCTGAACCCGTACCCTCCAATACGTACCACCCCCCCTCCCCAGCCTCCCTGTCGCGGCTGTCGGTCGTTGAGTTTGACCTGGAGGATGTGGACAGCCTGGCGCCCGCCATCGGCAACGCCGGCAAGGTGCGCCTGCTCTTTCGAACGCGACCGGGCGCGGACAGACGACAAGCGGGGGGCGCCCTTGGATTTGAGGGGCGGCGTCAGGGATTAACGTGGATGAGACCCACCGGAGTGGTTTAATCTTCCGCTGGCACTGCAGCCTCTCATTCTCTGTGTGATGTAAGAGCACGCGCGCATCTGGGCCATGGCCGCCACCACCACGCCGTTGTGGCGCACGATAACCCCCGCCCCCACTGACCCCCAAATCAGGTCGTCTGCACTGTGGGGGCGCGCGAGGCGCTGGAGCCGTCCGCCCCCAAGCGCATCGACGGTGAAGGCACCATCGCGCTCATCGAGGCGGCCGCAGCGGCCGGGGTGCAGCAGTTTGTTCTCGTCTCGTCGCTCGGCACCGGAAAGGTGGGCGGAAGCTGCCTTGTGGGGCTCGCGGGCCAGCCGAGCGCCTCGCGCATGCTCGTCCCGGCTCACATCGCAGTGTGGGGGTCAGGTTGAGTCAAAATATCATCGCCAAAAATCCTGTTGCTGATAAGTATCTGCAAAGTGGTTGATGCCTCAGCCCTGCGCTCATACACGGCAGCGCTGACACGCCCGCGTGCTGCTTCCCGCCGGCACCCCCCGTTGTCAACAATCGTTGTGAACCCGCCATTCTGGCAGATCGGGTTCCCGGCCAGCGTGCTCAACCTGTTCTGGGGGGTGCTCGTGTTCAAGCGCCAGGCCGAGGAGGCGCTGGAGCGCAGCGGGATGAGCTACACCATCGTGCGACCGGGTGCGGCGCCGCCCGCCTTCCGCCGCCCGCAGCTCGCAGCCGGCAGCCCGCCGCCTTGCTGCCGCGCCGCGCCGCGCCCGCCCTCTGCTGCCTCGCGGCCGAGCGTGCTTGGGCGCCCCCAACGCCGTCTTGAGAGATCACCGACCCGCGCCTGCTTCCGCCCGCTTCTCATCCGCGCCGCAGGCGGCATGGAGCGGCCGACGGATACCTACAAGCGCACTCACAATCTGGTGCTCAAGCCGCGGGACAGCCTGTTCGGGGGCCAAGTCAGCCGCCTGCAGGTGCGCGGCAGCTTCACTGATCGGATGTTATTCGTTCAGGGGCGCACAGGGCATTGTACCAAGGGGTTGGTTGGCAGAGGGGGTTTGGGGGCGGAGGGATGGGCGGCAGGTAGGGTGGGGCAACGCAACTGCGGGCGATCGCGCGGGCCCGCGGGCGTGGGGCGCCGGTCCGGCTGGGGGCGGACGGGCCCCGAAAGGGTGCGCGCTCGGAAGTGCGATGCAGCGGCCACGCTGCACCCTCCTCGTAGAACCCGGCCGCCTTCTTGACATCAAAGATTCGTGCATTCCAATGCAACGCCCCCCGCCCCCCAACCCCCCCATCGCCCCAGGTCGCAGAGCTCGTGGCTGCGCTGGCGTCCAGCCCCGGCCTGGCTGAAAACAAGTGTATCGAGGTGGTGGCTGAGGAGGGGGCGGCCGCGGCTGACCTGGAGGACCTGCTGAGAACCATCCCCGCCGAGATCACCAAGGTGGGCATGATCTGGGTGATCTGGGTGATCTGGCCGTTGACCTCTATGATCTGTTGCTGATGTGAAGAGATGTGACTGGCAGTCTTGGCTGTAAGACCCGCGCTCGAGCCCGGCCCTGGGTCGAGCACCGGCGGTTGGCGTCACGGGGATGCACACAGGATCCGACCCAAGGCTGATTCAAGGCGCCTGCGAACGCCGCTGAGGCTGGCCGCCGGCCGTCCCCGCTCTGCGCATTCACGAATGTCGTCTGCCCCGGGTTCCCTGATCCCCGCCCGCAGGAGGCCCAGGAGGAGGCCCGGGCGGCGCTGGCCGACAGCCGCCGCGAGCTTGATGCGGCGCGTGCTGCGGCCGACGAGGCCAGGGAGGTGTTCGAGGAGGCCAGCGAAAAGGTGAGGGGGTGGGGTGAAAAGGTGTGTCGGTGGGGCGATGACGCGCGGCCGAGCAATTGAAGCCGAGGCGCGACGCGGAGCGCGCGCACGGGGCGGCGGGCGGAGGGGTGTTGAGGGGCGAATGCTCACCTCTGGTGGTGCGGAGCACCTCTCCAGCGGGTCTGCAGAGGCCCCGTGTCGGCGCCGCTGCCCAACATGTTTGCCGTCCGGTTTTCGCGCCTCCCTGCCTCGCGCACCCGCTCCCGCCCATCGTACCTCCGCCCCAGCTCCCAAGGGGCCGCCCGCCCCCTCCATACCCCTCGCCCACCCCTGCTCGCCTCGCCCTTACCCGCTGCCCGCATGATTATCTGTGTGTGTCTTGACCTGTGTGGGCCGGCCCTGACTCCACCAACCCCCACGGCTCACCCACGCACGCAAACCCACACTTGTCAACCCCCTCTCCCCCCCCACACACACAAACACACCGCGCCTGCAGGCTGCTGAGCTGGAGGCTGCCCTGTCAGAGGCCAAGTCGGAGGAGAGGGCGGCGCGCGCGGACGCGGCGGCGGTGCTCAAGGAGGGCAAGGCGGCGCAGCAGGCGCTGGCGGCTGCAGAGGGCAGGCTGGAGAAGGCGGTGGGTGCCTGCTCGAATCCTGGTTCAAATTACGTGCCCAGATTGTGGATATGCAATCTTGTTGTTGTGTATGTGTGTCTGTGGGAGGGAGGTGTGGAGTGCCTGTGATTGGGCTGCGGCGGGCAGCTGGACTGGATTGGATTGCAGAGGCCTGTCGGGCGCACAGGCGCGGAGCTGTTGATGCGCCCTGCTGCCGCCACGGGCCAGCCCTTGCTGCGCCACGTCACCCACCGTCCCCTCGCCTTCTGCTTCTGGACCTCACTGTTGCATCTCCCTGGCCCCGCCAGTCCCGGGAGGAGGCGGCCGCAAGGGCCGTGCTCGACGCGGCCAAGAAGGCGGCAGCTGCCGGGCAGCTGCTCAGCGCCAAGGAGCTGCAGGCGGTCGCGCAGGAGGCGCTGCGCCCCAAGCCGCAGCAGCAGGTGCGTGGGTGTGCGCCGCATCCAGTAGCCGGCTGGCTGATGGGGTGGGCCTTTTGGGCTGACTTGGCATTTTCAGCTGCGCTTGCTTAGGTTTGTACTGCGTCATGCCGACAGACTTGCGGCGACACTGTACGCGCAGTGAGGGCAAGACGGCAGCAGCAGCAATCACGCCACGGAAGCGGCAGCAGCAGCAGTCGGCGCCCAACGTAAACACTGCGCCCATTCAAAGATGTCGCAACCGCCACACGCAAACTTCGCAGGCCGCGACCTCGCGCCCGGCGTCGCCGTTTGGCGTTTTCACTCAGAAGCAGCGCGCCGAGTCCCCCGCGCCCGCCGCGGCGGCGGCCGCGGCCACCGCGTCGTCGCGCGCCGCATCCCCGCTGGCTGCGTTGTTTGGTGGCCCCAAGGCGGCCGAGCCAGTCGAGGAGGAGGAGGAGGAGGAGGAGGAGGTTGTGGTGTCGCGCCCCACCTCGCCATTTGCCGCGCTCTTCGGCGGCGGCGCCAAGCAGCAGCAGCAAGAGGAGGCAGAGGAAGAGGAGGTAGAGGAGGAGGAGGCCCCAGCACCCGCGGCGCGCGCGTCGCCGTTCGGCGGCCTGTTCGGCGCGCCAAAGGCCGCGGCGCCCGCGCCCGTGGCGCCGGCAAAGGCGCCCGAGCCGGCACCCGAGCCGGCGCCCGCGCCCGCGCCCGTGCCGGCCGCCAAGCCGGCGGGGCTGTTTGGCGGGCTGTTTGGCGGTGGCGCGGCGCTGCAAGTGGAGGATGACTCCAAGATCTCAGTGCCCGCTCCCCCGGATGAGGCCGCCGCGGCGCCCAAGCCCAAGCCCGCCACGACCCCCAAGCCCGCGGCGGCGCCGGCGGCGGCCGCCGG